TGGTCAAAAACAATAAAATTAATTAACACTGTAAAAATTAGTTAAAAGCTTACAATTCTTATGCGTTCCAAAACAAACGGTGAAATCAAAACGTCACTAGCCATATCGAGGCACAAAGTCCGAACAGTAAGACAGTCAAAGTCGAAATGAAGTTGTCAAACGTAATCCGCGGATAGCAAACGGCGCTCTGATGGAAAAACGAGCAGAACCGAATATACAGGGCCGACTAAGTAATACCTATGACCCGGTTATAAATAGATGGCAGGCTCTCAGTATCGTTTTGTAAATTGATTGTGCAATCATGTTTTTTAATGAAAAACATTTCCGATATTTCTCTTTTTTTGAAATGTTTTTCTTTGTATAAAATTTTCGGATGTTGCCACTTAAAATCATGATTGTGTGTAAGACGATGTTTGCTCACAACAGAATAATTATCTACATTTATCTTTATTAGTTTTACCTTAAATAGTTGCTTGAAGGTCACGTAAAGGTCACCTTCAATTTTTTAAATAGAACCACCTACTTTTTATTGCATATTCTTGTAGCTTATCTTGAGGGCTTTCCAAAACACTACAAGAAAGTATTTTTTTATTAAGAACTTTTGGAATTATAAGGCTTGAAAGTTCTAGTATTTTGACATAAAATACAAAATATCTTGTAAAACATCAAGTTTTCGGTAATGTTACCTTAATACTTTTATGCACAGAATAATGAGACGAATCAATTGGTATAAAAAAAGCATAGTTCCTTTAAGAAAAAATATGTAATTTGCAACACGCATCTGCATACTTTTTCTTAAAAACAACTATGTCTTTTTTTCATATCAATTGATTCGTCTCATTATTCTGTGCATAAAAGTATTAAGGTAACTTTACCGAAAACTTGATGTTTTACAAGATATTTTGTATTTTATGTCAAAATACTAGAACTTTCAAGCTTTATAATTCCAAAAGTTCTTAATGAAAAAATACTTTCTTATAGTGTTTTGGAAAGCCCTCAAGATAAGCTACAAGAATATGCAATAAAAAGTAGGTAGTTCTATTTAAAAAATTGAAGGTGACCTTTACGTGACCTTCAAGCAACTATTCAAGGTAAAACTAATGACACCATTTTGCGTACCCCTTGAAACCATACAACTTTGGTCTGGAACATTTTTTTCTAAAATGTTGCGTTTACGAATAAATTGGGTGATACGGGTGGTCTGAGACACCCGGTATATACAGGGTGGTTTCTTTTAATTTATGCACTCAAATATCTCAAAACCCGTACGTTAGAAAGAAACTTTTTTCACAAAAGTTGTTTGATTCTGAGGGGGAAAAGATAGGAATATAAAATTAGTTTGACCTTGGATGGGGCGTCGTTAAGGTCAAGTCAAGATTACTTCAAATTTTTTAAATTAGACCCTCTATTTTTATAACATATTCTTGTAGCCCTCGTCGAGACGTTTTCAAAACACTACAATAAATGTTCTTTTGTTAAGAATTTCTTGAGATATTTTAAATTTTATCATAATATTTTAAATATAAAATATAAAATACTTTGTAAAGTATTCACTTTTCGATGACTTTACCTTGATACTTTTATACATAGAACAATAAAAGGAATCGAATAATAATATTAATTTTTACTGTAGCAATTTTCCAAATTTAATTGCGTCTATACAATGCAAGTTTACAATTAATCGATTTCTTTCATTATTCTACATATAAAAGTATCCAGGTAAAGTCATAGAAAAGTGAATACTTTATGAGATATTTCATATTTTACATTAAAAATATAATGACAAAATTTAAATTATCTTATAAAATTCTTGACAAAAAAGAGCTTTATTATAATGTTTTGTGTGACACGTAACGCTGAGCCTTCGCGCGTAGCAAACACTGAGCTGTCTCCTTCTCGCCGAATCGCGTAAACGTACGCTGATTCGCAAATTTTATCAATTAACCTTCGCATGCCACACTAATTTTTTGCCTATGTGTAAGCTACACACTGATGGGGTCTGGAGGACTCCAGCTATTTTTTTCTCATAAGTTTAGAAAAAATGTAATGTTTTTTTTATCGATCGTAAATCTGAGAATTATGATAGCAACCTCAAAATTTGTAAAAAAATTATTACCAAAAAATACGCATTAAAACATATAAATAATAGTTCCAAACGTAGTTCCAAAATTTCGTCCCTGAGACCCCAGTGTGGCTTTCGAGGATTAATAACTCATTATTTACTGTCATAATCGCCGAACGGTATACAGGACTTTTCTATACAATTTAATCCGCTTTACCTACCCTCTACGGGTGCTACACTTAAATACTATCAAACACTCTGGATAGAAAGCTTATTTGCTAGTTACTCCTCCATTGCTTGTAGAGTAAATTAAACTTTTCCTCGCTTATATCATTTCAAAGTTTCTTTAGTGTCTTACAACATTAGGGAACTTTCTAAAAATTTAAAGAATTTTAAATAAAATGTATATTAATATGTGCTAAATATAGAATAATTAATAATATTCCCAATTATTAAGTATTTGTATAGAAATAGCTGAGTTCATAAACATATAAAAAATGTAACGTATTAAATCTTACATTAGAGTCTTAAATTTATTGCTATTTGATTTTAGAAAATTAAATAAAGAGACATATATTTAATGTATAATCTCACTTTATTTCAAATAGGATTGAAGAACATAAACACAGTGCCACCAAACGTATCACTAGCCGAAATGGGTATGGATTCGATGATGGCGGTTGAAATTAAGCAAACATTGAAAAGAGAGTTTGATATTTCCTTGACAACTCAAGACATTAGAACTCTAAATTTTGTTAAACTTAAACAAATGACAAATACGACCGAACAAGGAGTTATACATGACACAAAGAAAATCGATACTAGTAATTTGGAAGGTTTCAACATACTGATTCAAAAAATAAAGGATTCAGACTTTCTTCCAGATATTCTAGTAGAACTTGATACAAAAAAGGAGATTGGTCGAGACAATATATTTCTCTTACCAGGAATCGAAAGATGTTCAAGTATATATAAATCTATAGCATCAGGAATTAAATCTTCGGCAACGTGTTTGCAACATGGTGTACTTAATATTCCCAAAAGTTGTTCAGTGATGAAGTCAGCCGCTTATTTGCTGCCTGTATGGAAATTAAATTTAATTAAAATATTTATTTTGATTATTTTTAACCCTCAGGGTATAGACTATAAAATAGTTACGTTCCGTACGGACATGGGTTAGCCTAACCCGGCGACTTTGATTGACTGTATATATATCGGGCTGTAATTTGTCAATTAAAACAAATTTTTTTTTCTTTGGATCAGAAATTTTCTCAAAAATACAATGGCGTTGATAGATTTATTACATTACTTGTTTAAACAAAGATACATTTGAAAATGTAAACCATTTTCAAAAAATTTTCATAAAAATTCACTTTTTCTTTTAAATTGCATAACTTTATGAAAAAAAAAAGATATCTTACTTGCTTGATTTATCGTAATAACGCAAAAAAAATAGATATCTTAAAGTAAAAATAGTTCTTTTGGATGTTGCTGATTAGTATAATATAAATAAATAACAAAAATTGAAATAATATTAACATGCATGCATGTTATGCTGGTTACGTTATGCTGGATACGTTATGCTGGTATGCTACAGAGCATCATTTTGAGGTTAGAATGCACAAAAGTATATTAAAAATAGTAAATTATACATACCAAAATAAAAATAAAAAAAAAAACACAAAACCTTTACTGCAGCAAATACTCGAAAAACACAAATTTAAAAAAAAAAAAAACACAAATTTTGTAACGTTCCATACGGACTGGGTGTAGACTACCCGAGTTCAATTTTTAAAATCGTATAACTTGAGCACCAAGCGTAGACTGACGCTGCCCCTTGGCGCTCACATAGTAGCTACCTCAAAGATTTCCCCCCCCCCCCGGTACGGACCCCCACCATTCACTTCCTTTGAAATGGCGCTACTTTCAAAATTCGCTCGGGTTACGCTAACCCAGTGTGTACCCTGAGGGTTAAATAATTTATAGGTATATATATATAAGTAATATTTAACAATTAAAGGTACAAATTTTTCGTATTATACCACAGCTTACACATACATTTATATTTATTTTCTTAGCACATATTAAAGAAAATGAAAGATCAAAGGAAATTTCTAATAGTGGGCTATTCGTACGGATCCTTAATTGCCATTGAATTAGCAAGATTATTAGAAGCTAAAGATTTCTCAGGACGGTTAATACTAATAGACGGAGCTCCTGACCAAGTAAAAATTTTGGTTAATCAATATTTTTACTGTGCTTCACTAGAAGAGTTACAAAATACAGTTTTACTTGGTTTATTGGGAACGTATGCTACAATTAACAAAAAAGCGGTTAGTAAATTATAAAAAATACATTTTGATTTCTTATTGTAAAAATTATTTATCTAATTTTAATATTACATAAATTTAAATAAAATGAGGTGGTTCGTTTGTCGTTGTTTAAACGTATAACATTATCACAAGTGACAGTTTTACAATATGACTCTCAATATAGAACACCATAAGTCTTCGCATCATAATTCTTATTTTGCTCTTCGACTTTTGTACTCGAAGAAATAGGATGTGCGTTTGATTTTAATTGAGATAAAAATTAATGTGATTAATGCGTTCATTTTTCACTTTTATCTTTTTGTTTACCGGTCTTTATATGCTATCTTAACTTTTTACACTGAAAATGATCTGATGACAGACTAAAACGTATATTAAAGTATAATATTATTGTAATTAAAAATTACAATACAATCACTTTGTTGTGGCTTTTTTATGTGGAGATATAGGAATTTTAATAAAATAAACAAAAATAAACACAGAATATACCATCGTTCAAGAAGTTAATATATTTTTTGTATTATTGATAAAATGCAGATGTTATTTTAGCATACTTATTATTATTAATCATACAAAATGCAAAATTTTCTTATTTGCAGATTGCGTTAGAACTGAATAAATGTAACACGGTGGACGAAAAATTAAAAGTATTTCATGCTTACTTCCCGAAGGATATAAATGTATTGACCATCGAACATCAAAAGCTTATATATTTCACAATTTACAATCATATCGTCGCTGTACAGGATTACGATATTTCATCATTACCTCGCCTTAAATCATCTATAACATTGCTAAAACCCACATTTCCGATTGCATCTTTTACTGAAGAGGATTATGGTTTACATAAGGTAAATAAATCTATAATTTGGATAGATATTTTGGAAATAGAACTATGATTTTAAAAGTAACAAGAAACTTATTTTTAGGTTACCGAAGGTAAAGTGCAAATTCATTATGTGGAAGGTAATCATATCACAATGATGGACAACGACGAAATCATATCAGTTATTAACGAAGAATGGATAGAAGATAATATAATACAATAAATATATATATATATACATATATATACTTTATCGGGACGCGGTAACATTAAAACAAAATATTTTAAAGATATTGTATATCAGAAAATAAGATGTCTTTCTGATAATGTTATCCTACAATACGTTTTTAACATTTAAAATAAGCATGTATAAAAAAATATGTACGCTTAAATTTTTATGTTTAACAATATATTTCGAGAAGTGAAGAATCTAATTAATTTTAGACAATTATGCTTTTTTTATGTTTTAGAAGGATTATATCATAATTGTCCGCAATCGAATTAATTCTTCTTAAAATATATTGTTAAACACAAAAATTTAAGAGTACATATTTTTTTATATATGGTCATTTTAAGGTTTAAGACGTATGAAACAACCTCTTAAGGATAACGCTTATATTTGATAGTATTCTAAGCAATTATCATGGAAACGGTAAGATATATGTAAAATGTTTTAGAAGAAACTTTTATGATTTATTTATGTACGTTATATAATTGTGTATTTAAATTTTTCAAAAATCTAATAAAATAAGTCTTCAATATACTTCCATTATCATTATTATTTTCCTGAAAGGACTGTGCCTAGTTTGGGCCCCAAGTGAACAGTCATGAGTCATATATTAATCAATTAAACGATAAGGGGGTACTCACGAAGTACGAAACGAATAGGTTTAAAATTGTCTAATGAAAGTCTGGTGAGCGTATGGACCTAACCTAAATTATAAATTATTAGAAAATAAAAATTTATTATTATTATTTTAAAGTACTCTTCAAACCATTCAACTTTTGTTTAAAAAATATATTTTTATCTTTTATAGTTTCGGAAATATACGGCCCGAAAAAGAAAAGTCAATTTTTTTCAAAGGGATGTTTCTGCCCCTGAATATGCGTATGAACACGTATAAAAATGTCCTTTATTTTTGTCCAAAAAACAACATTTTAAAAGCTCATCAAAATTGTAGATGGACATTTCCGTACCTTTCTTTGTTAGCCGGGTTAATGAACTGTATCAAATACATTCTAGATATATTATTTCAATGTCTTTGGTATAATCCGTTATCGCCGTCACCGCAGAGAGGCCTGGATGCAGAGAAATCAGATCAGACCAGTGGTTACATGGTCATAATAGCGTACTTTATTGGACAGCTTTAGCATTCAAAGGACTCGTTACAAAGTTGTGCCCATAGAACTTTTAAATCCTCTTTGATGCTCTACAATTCTAGCCATGTCTGATTGCTGTTTACTAAGGACCCATTTTTTCATATAAAACAGGGCGTAGTCCTTTATAGATTTTTTTTATAAATAAGAATTAAAAACGTTTTTATATCTAATCTATTTATTTATAAATAATAATGTTATTTTACAACATTACATCTTTCAGAAATAAGATAAAAATTTGTTATACGCGTTGTTATCGTTTTTATGTATTAGAACTTGCGGCTCTTTTGTGCAGTGCAGTACAATGTTTCTAACATTACATTGCAGATTATAAATAATATTGTTGCGCTCGGCGCCGAGGAACTCTCGTTTTCGCGCCGCGCACTGCCGGACTCGCGTAATAAGAGAGAACATTTTTTGTTAGTAAGAAAAGAAAAACAAGGGTTTTGAACTCAATACAGGAAAGCGTTTCAGGTGGAAAACACGTTCGAACAATCGGAGTTTCCCCGTAAATCTCACAGTCGTTGTTGTCAATCCGCAGATCAATACGTCCCGTCGTTAAGAAACGCGCTTCGGCTTGTCGGCTTCGGCGTGAAGCTACTCGTGAGCGAAGTTCAGGTTACTCAGGAGCAAAGTTCAGCACGCAACGGATGTCTCAGAACGGCGCGCGGCGCAGCACTGCTCTCCCTCTTCAAGATTGTCGTCCCGACAATCCGGCAGAGCAGCTGTTCAAGCGGACGGTTTCCAGGACTCCGAGACGGATTCTTGCCCTGCTCCGAGCTGCTGCTGCTGCAAGTTACCGGACTACGTCTCTTCCAGACCGACCTCTTCCTCTTTGGATCTTTTGTCACAGCCTCCTTTGGGGGAGAGCTGGCCAGGATCCTCCCCCTTGCCGATTCCAGGATGACTCCGCTAAAACTCCATTTTATTCCGGCTCGGTGCAGTTGGTGCAAACCCCTTGCTTCCAGCGCTGACTCGCTCTTCTTAAAAATATTCGGACTGGCGGGAGGGAATTACTTTCCGTGGACCCTGCGTCTCGCAAGACTCCCCTAGTCTCCGCCTCGGCATTTGCCCTAAATCTTACGGATAACTGCGGATCGAAAACCGTGCATGGGCGAGGCAGACTTCTTTAAGAAGACTTCAGGCGATCTCGTTGCCTCTAAAACCTTCTTTCGGGTCAAAAGTTCTTTCGCTCTCACTCTCTATCTGTGAAAACAAACATTAAACGCAGTAACTCGAACATAAAAAAAAAGTTATTTTTTTAACACAATTTTATTCCCTTTTATTCCTCTCCCTCTTACTTTTCTCCATTATTCTCTTTACTCATGTTTACCTTTTTCCTCTTTCATGCATTATTATCAAAATTCTCCCTCTCCTTTCAAAATTGTCTCCCTGAATTGTCTTTATCGCTTTCGCTCTCTCTACAGCCAACTTAAGAGAAGTTATTCCTTCTAACTGAAAGGTTCTTCTCACAAAACCATTCAAAAGCAGAAATAAACTGGGAGCAAGCGATTTTGTCACGAACCGGAAAAGGGCATTCGGGGTACGCCAGTCGAGCTGGAGTCTTTCGAGATCTGAACCGAGTTCGGCGAAATCTTCCTCAAATTTCTGCTTTCGGTTCGTAAATTGGGAATAATGGTTCTGTGAATGGAGCCGCCCCTCACCGAAACGCAACTCGAGTTTAGATTTTAACTTCGAATAATCTACATTTTTGAGTTCTTGGACGTTTTCTAAAACAGAACGTGCTTTTCCCCTCAGACTTGAGGCTAATATAGCCATTTTCGACATGTCATTCCATTTATTTGCTCGGGCAATTAACTCAAATTGCGAGAAAAACTCTTGCAACGCAATTGTTCCATCGTACGTATCGAGCTTTAATTTTACACACTCCGCTTTGCGACGCGGGTCTTCCCCTCCCCGGTACACTTCCGCGAACGCGATTCGCAACCCCGAATCCCCGAAAGCTTTATTATCGGGTGGACTTAGCTGTGGAAGTTCTCGATGCTGTGGCTCTGCTTCTCGCTGCCGCAACACGCCGCGTGCTCCTTACGCATCAGCCGCATTTCCTGCAGCATGGCTTGCAATATCTTTGCCTGTGCCATAAGCTGTGGGGCACTCGGGCTAGCTCGAGGTATCTCCGCCTCCGTCGGCCGTGGCTCTCTTTCTCGTCGAGGGAGTGGAGTCGGTGCTCGTCATCGTGTCTTCACTCGTCTGCTTTCCGCAGATCCGTCTGATCTTTACGATCCGTGCGATCCGTGCGAACCCAGGCAAGCCCCCAAAATGTTTCGCCCAGGTCGACGTTGAGTCCGTGACTTCTCGGATGGTTCACGCACTCACTCGCACTCCCATGGGAATAACAAAACGTTTATTAACGATCGAACTCTTTATTAGATGGGAACACCAGAAAACACGTCAGAATTGTTTAAAAGTTGAGTTTTTTTCTAAAAAAGCTCTCAATCAGTTGTTAAACAGCAGCCCGTTGTCAAGGAAACACTTCGCGACTTCTCGGTATGACTGCTCGCTTCAGCTCGGAGTTATCGAAAAGCGTACCGGGCGGCACCCACGCAACAATATTATAGTAAGAGAGTAATAATAATTTTTTTATTGTTGCTTCCTAGAATTACTTAACCTACGGTTTCTTTCAGTCTCTATAGATTATTTTTTTTTAATACCTTAATTTATTCTCTTAAATATTTTCTTATACTTTTATATGTTTTTTACTATTTTATATCGCGTTTGCATACTAATTTTTAAACGTACTTAATAATATTAAATAATTTATAAATGTTTATAAAATAAATGGGAGATAATGTTATTTCCGGGGCCCCTTTAATAGGTGTGTTTGATAGATCTTTCACTGAGAAAAAGAATGCCGCAAATCACAATGCGCTACAATGCATAGTTTTTGACATATCGATTTTTAAATGTAATAATAGCCTATGTACGGTATTACATGGGTTTGCAATTTACGGGCAACCTCACCGATTTCAATAACCTTGATATATGCCCACACATACATTAATATTTAATAAAAATCTATTAAATATCCCCAATGTATATCCATGATATCCACGAGATATTTAATAGATATCCATTAAATACCCAGGTGTCCGCCACCTGAGATCTAATTTATATCCATTAAATATCCATAGGGATATCCAGTGGATATCTATTACATATTAGTGGATGTATCTGCATGGATATCTACCAAATGTCTAATATACGTCCAGGGTCATGTTCCAAAATTCACTCTAGTTAACTAAAATGCTATAGTGTACGTGACGTAAACTATAGATTTTAGTTACCCAGAGTGAGTTTTGGAACATGACCCAGTAGGTATAAAACGGATATAAATGAGATAGGTTGGTTAATCTATGGGAGCTTTCCAGCAAGCAATACAAATCGACACAAGTATCGTTTGCGACGCTTTTTTCTGCCGCGGGGTTGTTAGGCGCGACTGCACGGCGCCACAAATATACTGATAGCACACAAAGATACTGACGGGTAGCAGAGCACTCCAAAAATCGAAACACGAACACCAGATAAGTTGGGCGCTAGGTGTGGAGAGAAGGCCACACCTCCTTTTACTCTAAATAACTCTCATCATCATCTAAGTCGGTCCCTCATTACTGAGGATCGTGACCACATGAATCGTGGACCATCTGTTGCCATGATTCCCTGTCCTCAGCTCGGCGCATCGCCTCGTGGATGGGTCCCTGTGTGGTCCTTCTGACGGCATCGCCCCATCTGGTCGGGGATCGGCTTCTGCTTCTTTTTCCCTCGACCTGACCAACGATCATAAGCCTCTCCAAGTTATCCGGCTCGCGTCTGGAGATGTGTCCAAAGAACCTCAGAATACGCCTTAGGCAGATCGTAGACAGGCGAGTTCGAATTCCAAGTTTTTGCAAAATTGACGCGTTTGTGCGATGGGCCGTCCAAGGCACACCCAGCATTTTCCGCCAGCACCACATTTTGAATGCATCTATTCTGCTCCTCAATCTTGCCTTCAGTGTCCATGTCTCAGCAGCATATAGGAACACTGAGAAAACCAGGGACTGGACTAGTCGGACCTTGGTCTTCTTGCTTATGCTACGATTTCTCCAGATTTTGCCGAGCCGCCTCATAGCATCCTTTGCCATTTAGTTGCGGCGGCTTACTTCCCTGTCGCAGCTTCTATCATCGCTGATTACGGAGCCCAGGTATACGAAGTCCAAAACCACCTACAAATCACGGAGCTCGTGTGTGCGCTGCAGGGTCCCGGCACGATCGATGAACATTAGTTTGGTCTTGTTTTTGTTTATGTAAAGTCCCAGTTGCATACTCTCGACCTCTACCCTA